TTCACAAAATGAGCACACCTGAATAATTGGTACCCAGAATAAGAAACAACTCCAGAAGTCCCCTTCCCCATCTTATTCTTTTCTAGTTATTAAATCACTATTGCCATTGATAAATTTTGCTTGCTTTTGAATTTTAATAAATGGAATCATGCAGTATGTATTCTCTAAGGTCTAGTTTCTTTTAATACTATAATTATGAAATTTATCCATGTTGTGGCATATAATAGTAGTTTATTTCAGTGTAACAAAAATGGATTATTTCAGATCCCCGTTGCTAATTTAGCCATATTTGGGTGAATAATGCATGTGCATCTTGAGCTTTTCTGATTTGCTGGCTTTGTTACATACTTGATTCTTATACTCCATCAGTGTTTCAGTTCTTATGATTTATAAGACAGTCTTTGCAGGATATTTTTAAAGTAGTTTGTTTCAGCTCATTTCATACAAGAGTCTCTAGACAGTGTTGTTCTTCTGACATGTCAACATTTGTTTTTTGGGTAATTGCTGGCTTACAAAATAGTACTAGTGGTTTTCATTTAAATCAGCCATCAAATCAATATATTCTCTTCTTTTAGCCCTGGTTTCCTGAGGTTCGTGAGGGTTTTATGTGGCATGTCTTCAGATGAAAGGAAAGCATTCCTGCAGTTTACCACTGGCTGCTCAACTCTACCCCCAGGTGGACTGGCTAACCTGCATCCTAGGCTCACAGTTGTACGCAAGGTACAAACTCTAGCTAACTGGGAATCCAAATGAAGTTTAATTACTTAAGGATTGAAAGGATAAATATTTAAAGTCATGGTCTTCTGTTGTTTTCACTTTTCTTTTTGTAGGTTGATGCCACTGATGCAAGCTACCCATCAGTGAATACATGTGTGCATTACCTAAAGTTGCCAGAATATTCTTCAGAGGAGATCATGAGAGAGCGCCTGCTAGCTGCTACAATGGAGAAAGGCTTTCATCTCAACTGAGCTCTGCAGGGCAATAGGAAACATCAGAGACTTTTAAAATACTAGTGAAGCCTCTTGTGTTTGTGTGCAGAAAAGTATATGATTCTCCACGCTAATGACACTTGCCTTTTTTTCCACCATTAAGGCTTTAAGAACATGTGGAATAAGTTTGTAGCTGCTAAGGACAAAACACATCCTTTAACTACCCAGCCAGCAAGTATATAGCACAGAACACTGTGTGTTGCTACAAGGGCTTATGTGACTGGAATAAGTTGGTCCTACTTGACTGTTCCAAAGAGCAGCTTCTCAGATCTTCAGTGTTCACTGGTAAATTTCTAACAGTGTATTTGTGTAAAGTTTGTCATTTCATACTTCATACACTACAGTTGCCATCACTGATCCCTGTTTTGCTGGCTTTTAAGCTACTTGGTCAGAAATCCTGCTTCCTTAAAACATAAGAGAGTTAATGAGCATCTCAAGCTTTTTCTTTTCCTTTTTAATGATGCCTGCACTATCAAGAGTATCCTAGTGTTCTCTCTTTTGTTTGGCATATAATCATGCACAATCCTTTTATTTCTTTGAGGTGGGAGTACATTTTTATTTCCTAAATGCCATACTTATTAAGATCAAATCCTTAGGTGTGTTTGTGCAGTTCAAAAATAAAGATATATTAAGGGGGGAAAAAAACACTGGTCAGGTTGCAAGGCACACTTAAAGCAAGTTTTACTTTTGGTTGTATTTTCTTTGTATATTATAAACATTTATTTAACTTGTTGCAGTTTGAAGTAAAAAAAAAATTTCCAAAATGTATGCTCAACAATAATCATTAAAATGTTTGCAGCGTACAAAACTGTGTCATGTGACTGTTTCACGGCAGCCATCAGGCCTAAGCTTAACCAGATAATTTTCATGTTGAGTCACTGAAATTTAGTCTTTTTGAGATTACTACATGAAGAAATGTTTTTTTCTATGTAAATACACTTACTGAAACTGGTAAGCTAGGAGAAATCTATGTTCACATGCTTGTGGTCCAACTGTTGTGTTCTGTCCTGCAGTATTCTTCAGTTAAAAATGGCTAAGTTATTTGTGTTAACTTTTTAAACACCAGATCTGCTAAACCTACCACTGTATTATCTTCAGGGATGTGTAAGTCTAAGATCCAAGAATGATTTTTGAATGTTGTGTCAGTATGAAAAGAAACTACTGGGATACTGCTATTTCCTGGTTTTGAAAAGGGGGCTCTGTTTTCATTTTCCAAATTCCTGTGATTTATCATATCTATGCATTTAAGAAAAATAAATGTCACTAGGCCTGATTTAGCCAAATGGCAGTTACAGGAATGAAAAGCATTTTTTGGAATTGCCCGTTATTACCTATTTAAAAGGTGTGTTCCCTTTCTACATTAGAAGAGATTTCTCCCACTACAGTCAATCATCTGAGTAGTGTTTCTATTCTCTGCATGAGAATGTTGTGACTGTGTAACCAGAGGCAGCATTTAAATAATTTACCTTATTGTCAGCTTCACAGTTCTCTGTGAGAATAAAAGTTAAAATAAAATATAATAGCAATATTTAAATGTATGACCTATGCTTTAATACAAAAAATGTTGGTGGTGATTGTCTCAAAGTCATGGATGCGTGACTAGAACTTTATATTAGGGGCAGAATTAAAATCCAGTTTATGTGTCTCATAAATGTTTGTCAGTCGCCAGCTTTTACTGAGACTACTCCAGCACAGGGGTCAGCAAACTGTGGCCTGCCGTTTGCTTTTGTATGGCCAATAAGCTAACCATGGTTTTAAAATGTTTAAGTGGTTGAAAAAAATCAAAAGAATAATAATACCTTATGATATGAAAATTTTATGAAATTCAAATTTCAATGTCCATAAAGTTTTACATGCTGATTTATTATCTGTGGCTCTTTTGGCACTACAGAGGCAGAACTGAATAGTTAGAGCAGAGACCACACGGCCCATGAAGACTGAAAATACTTACTATCTGGCCCTTTGCAGAAGAGGGGTGCTGAATCCTGGTTTAGCACATTGCTAGAGCAGGTAAAATTGTCAGGAATCTTCGTGTAGAAAGAAAAGTTCAAGAACAAGGTAAAGCTGACCGGTCTGAGACATAAATTTGATGAGTGTGAAAATCACTTAAAGCCGGTAACCACAGTTCAACATTAAACCTGAAGTGAGATGGCACAGTGTCGCAGAACAGTCACACATTATTGTTCACTTTGCATGAGTCAAGAATTTTGAGACATCTGCTAGGTCTTGAGTGTTCTTTCCTGTGGTATCTACCTAGTATTTGTTTTAATTGTTATTCTCTCAAGGTACTAAAATCTGTGCCAAGATATTATCTGAATGCTATTTTGGTGTGACCCAAAAATTAATTTTATTCACTCCCTAGTTACTTCTGGTGTACCAGTTTCAGCAGTTACCTGAATATGCTACTGATTAAATGCCTACCAACTAGGACAGTGTTTCCCAACTAAGATGTCTCAGAAAGACCTCCAAAGCACTTTGATCTAGACTGGGCTTTCCCCAGACCTTGGCGACTTAATGCAAAGTTGGATCTATATATAAATACCATTCACTATTCTGGCAGGTCAGAAACCTTTTTTCCCTGCCCTCCTAAATGAGTCCAGAACAACTAAGGTTTGCTTTTAGAGTCCATTATAGATACGAAGACTGGATCTTCATAGATGCCAACTGTGAAATATGTAAGTAGATTTTTAGAAATATAAAAAATTTAAACAAAATTCTGTCCTACACACAGACACACAAGAGAAAGAGAGAGAGAAAAGGTACTGAATGAGTTACCAGTGCCTAGAATATCCATTTACGTCCTCTTTTGGAGGATGGAGTGTTGTACGTGAGAGAACTCTTGGAATTCCATAAGATGGTACAGTGTATTTATGTACTAAGGCTGTATTTCTGTTGCCTCCATTGCACCTGCCCTTCCACCCCTACATGTACATGAACATGCTTTTACCTAAGATGATTTTTATCTTGTACTGCTGCCTGAGCAGCAAAAGCATGCGTAGGTATAGATATAGAGATACATATAGAAAGGTTTGGGAGGACCAGGGCATTGCTCTTCTATAGTGACTTAGTTTTCTTTGCTTTAAGACATTCCAGGAGAAGGAAGTTGAAGGAATAAAAGGGAGGGGGAGATGGATTCATCTCATGCCAACCTGAACAGAGATAATCTCTTGCATTCTATTTTTAAACTTTAAATTTCATTTACAAATAAGTTAACTAACAAGACACTTTACAGTGTGGCATATAGGGTAGTTGTAAGGGCAGTCTTTCAATGTTTAGCCATTCGTTATTAGGTAGTAACATTCTCTATAGAGTTAATTACATTATGGCATTGTAATTGTCAAGTACCCATAAGATAGATATCAAGCTTTTAGAAACTGGCAAAATTTAATTCTGCAGTTTTCATTAGGAACACAAATTTAGGAAAGTTTTGGCTTTTTAAGGAAAAGGATAGCATTCAAAAAACAGTATTATTCAAAGTGCTAAATGTGTTCAAGTCAGTTTTAAAGTTTATTGGCTGACAGTTGAGACACTTTCTCCCCACCCCATGCTGCTGCTCCTGAATTTAATTTGCAAAGGGAAGCCAAGACCACAAAGGTTCCTTCAGTACTCCACAAAATTTAAACAAGTGAGAAAAAAATGCTTATGGTTAGAAAATAAAACTTGTCTCTCTAAGTTTTTCTTATACATCATATTTTAAAATACAGTTTTGTTTTCCATTTAGGAGCTGTGGAAAACACTATTTAAAATGTCTTTGGAAGGACAGCTCATTTTGTAATATGTGGCCTTCTAGATTCTTTTGGGCTGCAGAGGTTGAGAGGTAGTCCATGATGTTCTCTTTCCTGTAAGTCGATGTTGTCTGGCACAGCCTTTCCATTTTCAGCTTTCTGACATCTTATCAAGAATGAGTAGAGGGGCAAGAATTCTTGCCCGATTTGTTTCCACAATGCAGCCGTTTAAGACCATCTCATCCAAAATGATGTGTACTTTATCCAAATTAAACATTATCTAGGGTCATATTAAGGAAATTAGAGTTATAAAAATGTTAACGTTCAGTAAAAACTTGTGATTTAGCCTGGATTTTTTTCCGGTGTAAACTGGTCTAAGAATGAAGGTTTTTATTTTTTAACAGAATTCCTGAAATTAAAATTGGTGTTTATGCTAGAAATTATTACTTTCATGTAGCATTACACACCTAGTTTCACCCTGGTTAAGCTAACTGGACAATAAGCATACAAACAGAACAGCCACACCTTGTAGCCAGAGAGACAGGGAATCTACCAAGAGCTATAGAACAAAGCAAGTAAAATTTAGCAAGAGTGTGACCTGGCCTCAAGAATGTCTTCCTGGACAATAATGACAACAGTAATAGCCATGACTTGTTGAATACTCACTATGTTCCAGGCATTGTGTTGGGTGTTTTACATACATTACTTCAGTCTTCTCTGCAACTCTGTGATGTACATGCTAACATATTCTCATTTTACACAGGAGCCAACAGGCTCCAAGCCATTGTCCATGGTCACGTGGCTAGTAATTGCCAGAGCTGGAATAAACCCAAAGTCTAGGCTTAACTGCTCTGCTTTCAGACTTCTCAGGAAAGGCCTGAGGCTGCTGAGCATACACCCTTCCTCCACCCCCAAACCTCCACCTCCAAACAAATGCTTTTACAACACTGCATCTTGAACATCTTCTATGTCAGACAGGCTGGAGGGAAAAAATAACACGAGAAGTGAATGAAGAAGACAAGGCAATGCTGACTCTATCCCTAAGGAGATAAAAAATCTGATTTTCAAGAGAGTACCTCTTATAAATGGAGAGTCCTAAAAATACTCATTTGAGAATTAGGGAGCCACTTTAGTTTACTGATGTTCTTACTGTTAAGTCAGTATAGGGCATGGGGGAAAAAGAAAATACTGTTAGACTATGAAGTCTAGCTAATTAGAAACAGCCAAGTTCTTCCCCCAGGAGCCCCTTCATTTGGGTACCTAACTTGTCTTTTGTGAAAAGAAAAGAGGAACTGGAATGAAATGGTGACAATGGTTGAACGTTTCTAAATTCTATACTTTATCTTAAGTTTCCATCTCAAGAATGATCCTGGTCTGTTATAAGAAAAAACAAAACAGCTGACAGATTGTTTCAAATAGACTAACTTCATTCAACAAGTGAGTGATTAAATGCAGTAGGGGAATTCATAATTAGTGAATCTTTGAAAAATGAGTCATTACCACCTGATCTTTTTCCCCAATAATTCCAGATGTTCATCTATTGTATTTGTTTAGTAAAGTATATCAATAGCAAATGAGACAACCCTGTGAATGACTTTTAAGTTTCTACTAGGCTCTGTCTTAATACCTCATTAAGCTCTGTGCAAATAGTCCTTCAGCAGAATAAACTGTTTTTCAGGAGCCCATGGGAACTGTCCTTAAGTGACCCAGAAAAAAAAAGCTTTACTCTGATAGACCTATTAATAATGTCTTCCAATTAGATAGATGATTGCTTTGTCCATGACAAATTGGGACTGGGATATCAGGCCCTCGACTCAGTCCTGTTCACCAGACCCAGAAGCCAGAACTGAAAAGCCAAGACAAGGTAGGAATGACAGCCAGGTATAAAGAAAGACAGAGCTGGGAAGCACAGGCTGCTGCATGAAAAACGCCCCATAGGATCCCCTTGCATTCACGAGGGCGATGAAAGCCTGGTGCCTTTGAAAATGTCAATCCATCCAAGGTGATTTCTTTTGAGACAGAAGGAGATCTCATCTTAATCTATCCTATTTGAATTGGTCCAGGGAATCAAACTGCTCTGAAGACTGCTCCATCTTTGGCAAAAAGACAACGAGCAATTCATATGCCCCCGTGAGCAACCAGCCAAATGTTTTGACAGTTGGATTAGAAGTTTCTGCTGAATCATATCAACCACTGACATCCTCACATGGCCGGGACAAGGTCCTTCAGCAAGTCTGAATTTCCCAACATCCTGGAAACATGAGTTGCTCAGTGAGGTCATTCTGTACTGTGTTCATGTGACTGCCTGTCTTGAGTATCTGGTTCAGACCCCTAATAACCATGCAACTTCCTGACACTAACTATACAGGGAGGCCACAGACCAAAGCCAACATGAGGCAAAAGCCTGAAAGCTGATTTCCCCCTGGAATCATGTGACTCCTTTAAAATAAGAATCCAGCTGTTGTTCACATCTCGATTTGGTTTAAGAGCAACTTGTGCACACTGGCAAAGCCAAGAGTAATGGCATTTGGGCTATATGCCAGGTGAGCAGGGACCAAAAAAACACCCTATAACGCTAAGCCCCATGGCAAACACACTTGAACCCTTGAAATAGGACATTTGGAATAGGAGGAAGCAAAAAAGGCACAGGTTGTTAATGCGATGAGGTGAGAATGACTATTTTAAGAGGGTCCAACCTTCAGGTTATACTGAACTCGACTGACTTAAAGATCCTTGAGGCAACCTGATTCCCCTCATGGGCACCCTACAGTTGGAGCTGATATGAATTAGAAACAGCCGCCCAAAGAGTAGATTCATAAAGCCCCACTTTCTCCGCACCCTGAAACCTAAGAGCCTTTCCGAACTTCTCTGTAATGTGAACTGGAGTTGAGTATCTTTAGGGCCCCAGTAATATTAGTGCCAATTGAAATCAATTTTTCAATTAAAGTGATTGAAATGTCTCTGGTTCATAAGTTGGAATTTTGATCTCTGGATCAAAAAACACTTTTCAACGTGGTATTTTAACACCACTGTGGTGGGTGGTCTAGTTCTCCTTTAATAAGAGAAAACTAAGCAGCATACATTCAAATGGGACCTAAAAATTCCAGGGCAGAGCCCAGTCTGGAAACTAAAATTTAATTCTAGATTTTGCTCTCAGATCCCTTGTCTTCTTATTTAATTTTTTTTAAGATCTTAGCTAAGCAAAATTCTTTAAGTAGAGTGGGAAAAAACTTGCTCTCATTTTTTAATATTTTAATTTAATTTCCCATGGAATTAAATAAGTTGCAAAGGGCCAGTATTTACACTGAAAATCTAATCACAACTGTATAGATTATCATCATGAAGATTCTGCTTAGCCCTGGGTGTATGAGACACGGAACAGAACCCCTCTGGGCCTCAGCCTCTTCACTCTTCAACTAAGAGGTGAGGTTTTAGGGTGGAGGGTATAGCTCAAGTACAGAGCACATGCTTAGCATGCAGGAGGTCCTGGGTTCAATCCCCAGTCCCTCCTCTAAAAATAGATAAATAAGTAAACCTAACTACCACACCCCAAAAAACAAAAACAAACAGAAATGAGATTTCAACCTAATGATTGTGTAGTTTTCTTACAGCTCCAAAGCAGTCAAATCCTATGACTCTAAAGGTAAACTTCAGGGAGAATTTCTCAAAAACTTCTCTGGTCTTCTAGCCAGTATTTCCATAGCCTTTAGTTGAACAAGTACTTTTTGTGATTTTTCATTAAGTCAGGCGGAAATTATCTCCTACTTGGAGAAGCCCTATTCTGGCTTCTGGACCTCTAAAGGTGTTCGGGATTTTAGGAAGGAAAGAAGGAACGATGGATAGACGCCTCCCAGTGTGGCCTGGGGCCTTATGGGGCCTGACTGCAAACTTTGGTGCTGCTGCTTACTGTTGCCTGGGGGCCTCCTCCTCCTGGACGCTCCTTGGCAGATAAGAGCTGAGTCACAGAGGGTGCAAGCAGGATGGAGGCCCTTTCTACCCTCTACCCTCAACTGCAGTAAAGAGAGCGGTTTTCACATCACCCACATGAGCTTTAAGGTTCTAGAACTAACTGCTCAGGCTCATAAAATAAAAAGATGAAGTTGCTAAAGATTTTTTTAAAGATAATTTTGAATGAAGAAAACATTCTGGATTCTAGACCTACATTTGTGGGGGAGGGGGCACAAGACAAGGGGCCCCAGCCTGTTCCTGGCTTTTCTTTCCACGAATGTATGTGTAATATCCTCGTTACCATCCCAGCCTCTCTATCATTCCTACCCTCCATCAGGTGGTGGGGGTGGGAGAGAGGCCTGCACAGGCCTTGGCAACAGACTTCAGGGTGCCTGGGGACCCAGGAAGCTAGAGGGTGGTCAAGAAGTGGATGGGGGGCCCTGCAGCCTCTGGGTGAGCATCCCTACCCCATGGAGAAGGGTGTTGCTGAGGGAGAGCCAGAGAGGGGTCTGTACAGTCAGGTCCCAGGAAGGGGACCCTGGTTGTGCAGGTCTAAGGCAGTCCTGCTGCATTCCACTCTAGCCAAAATAAACCACGTCTTTAAGCCTCTGTAAGGCACCAGATACCACAAAGGGGTGTTCAGGTATCTGGTACCTTCACACACAGTATGTGTGCACAGAATCGAGAAGGAGTTGGACATCTGAATGGCGCTATTCATTGGTGCCATCCCGACGATTTAGCAGAAGTGGCGGAGACTGCTCCTTTGAATGAGGAATCGTCTGGAGAATTCAGCAAACCTGGGGCTCCAGAGATGAGCGCACTTTGAGGAGCTCGTCAGTTGGTTCCTAAAAACTATCTTAATTTGTGGAAGTCTTATCTAAGTCTCCCAAAGTATGAGGGAGGGCGAACTTTCCCTACAGAAGTCCTCAAGCATTATTTCGGTCCCGTGAGTGGCGTGGACTGTGAAGAAGGTACGGGAGCTTCTTCCCCGCACACGAGTGATTTAGGTCATTGATGTGCTTGGCCCCACTGGTGCAGGCTGCCCTACCTGACACTACACTGCAGCAGAGAGTTTCCACTTAGCAGGAGGGCTTTCAACAAGCCAGGATTTCTGTCCTGATTTCTTGTGCTTAGGTTGTTTCTTTTTAATATCCGATCTGTCTTGCTCTGCGACGTTAGTTTTACTAGAAGTAGAACAAGCCTGTATCGGGGAGAAATGTAAGTGGTGCATTTTATTTCCCAACGTCTAACCCTGCAGGCTTGGGAAAACTGCCCCATTCTTAGGTCTTAGCAGACACAAAGGTTATGTGCTCTGAGTGTTGGGAGAATTGGCTCCAGGCTGCAATTATGCCAGCTGCTGGTTTTCAACCTTTCAAGGCCTAGGGAAGCTTTCCTGCACAACGTCAGCAGCTCCGGCAGGTTCCTGGTTACATGCTACCAGAGCAGGGATGCAGGATGTCTGGGGCCCTACACAGAGGGGGCAGTAAACTGACGCCACACGTTAAGAAACTTGTGTGTAGAAGTCTTCCCTGGACTTCTTTAACATTATAGTTAAACAGAACTATGGATGAGGCAGAACAGAGTCATGGGTTTTTAATTTGATTTTTTTCAGGTGGCCCAGAGTAGAAACACTTCAAGAATGTCAGTAGAAGAGAGGGGCTCCAGGCCTCCCTGCCCTGCCACCTGCTGCACTTCTGACCACTGGGGGGCCACGTGAAATTACACCTAGAGCAGGGACATATGCTTCCAGGTCTGGAGAGATTTAGTTCCTTCTCTGAGTGATGCAAAATTCCTAATCTGTCAGATGGATATGCCTAACTAACTCCTAAGGAGATTAAATATGTAAGTTGGTCAGAGAGGAAGGGAAGGCAAAAATGAAGCTAAGAAAAATGAGGGGCAAAGTAGAAATTGTGTGCTCTGGTGTGAAAATTAAATTCAAACAGGAATGCTGGAGCTAATTACCTGGACCTACGCTATACACTAGAGGGGTACAAGAACAAGCCCATGTCTACTAATAAACACCCAGTCAACACACAAGACACATCAACACAACCAGTCCAGTTAAGATATACATCCTATTATATCTTATTCACTTTAATTCTCTGAATATCTAAACTTGCAAGACTCTCTCATCCTGTTCTAGGTGTAAGATAACTCAGCTCACTTACCTAGAGTCATGGCAACATGAAATACTAAGGCTGAGGGAGTGGTAAAGCCCTTCTAGTTTAATTCTGTCATCCTCCGATAGGGGTGTTATGCGTCTTGTCCAATGCACACCGCTAGTTGGTGGCAGGACTAAAAGCAGAACTGGGTGTCCATGCTCCCGGCGAATTGTCTATTAGCTTTTGCTATTTTCCTGATGACTTTTAAAATCAAAAGTCATCGTTCTTATTCCTCTGTATAAGGAATAAAAGATTTATTTTGAATTGCTTTAAAGGGCTTAGTTAAAATGGAACGTTCAACCTGAATAAAAATACACCCTAATATACAGCCTGGTCTTGGGCCTCCTAGGTCAAAAGAACCATAGATTTAGGTCACTCACCACTAGAGGGCACTCAGATTTCCCCAGTCAATTTAAAGAGGCTTCCAAACACAGCCTGCAGATGAAGTTTAGCAACATGACATTCTCCATCAGTAGTCAAAGGTAAAAGGCCATTTCCCCAGAATACACTGGCATACTGGCTCTGGGCATAGGTGTCCAATGTGTATGTGTGTATGTCTATACACACACAAATATGTGTAGGTGTATATATACACATCAATATAAATATGTTGTAATTAATATATATTTAGTATTATTATTGTTACTATTTTAGATTTCAGCCTGATGTTTTCTCAAAGGATCCTTCTATTTATTGCTTTCAAGTGGTGAGCAGATTTCTGAAGTAAATTAACTTTAAAGCAACTTGCCTCCAGTGCACTCACACAAAGCCGGGGGCTCCTGCCAAAATCCACAGGCCTGCGGTACTCTAAGCAAATCGCCCTTGCTGTTGGCGCCCTTGGATACTTTGATTTAAAAGGGAGAAGAGAAGAAAAGGAGAGCTTCCTTTGCTATAAAAGGAAATGAATACAAGCCAGGCAGTTTCTGTAACCCTCCATTTCATCATCCCTGCAGGCCTTATTCTGATCATGTGGGGAATTTCTGGAGATTTATACCTGGAGCCACGCAAATCCATTCTCTCTAGGAGGACCACGCACTTTCTGGCTGTGTTATTTAAATTCTGAAAAAGTCTACTCCTTATGTGTAAGTTAAATGAATATACAACAATTATTATTAACTATACCACAGCATTACCCTGTTGGAAAAATACAAGAATCGTCTTTGTGAAGAAGGGCAGAGGGTTTCTGCAAAGCACCTGCACCTCTGACCTGCATGTCAGAGCTGTGGCTGATCAGCCTTCCGGATTCTGGATTCTGCGGAATTGTTTCGCTGCCCCATGGCACTTACCTGATCCGGACTGGCCTGTGCTTTGCCAAGTACTGTGGAAAACTTGGCTCATAGCAATGAAAAAAGGATACATCTAATTCACTCTGGAAAAGAGAAAAGAGTCCAAGGATGAGAAGGAGACACTGGGACACAATGCACTTAGTACAGGCAGCCGCTGCTCTGGTCGCCAGCCTGAAAGCAGGTGGGCGAGGCTGCTCTGGATGGAGAAACCTGAGCACGGGAAGGCCGAGTTCGGGAGAGTGATTTAAAAAAAATAGGCTGCAGTTGGAGAACTTTTATAGGTTAGAACAATTCACCTTTAGAAGGTAGAGGGGATAAACTAATTCAACCTTTACAGATGATAGGTAATTTGATATGTATATCAAAAAATTTCATAATGTGCACACAGTTTGAATCCATCAGGTTTACTTCTAGAAGTTCATCCTCAGGAAATAATTAGATAATGGCATAATGATGTGTGATAGGATATTCAGGGTAATGTTATCTATAGTAGCAAATGACCGAAAACAAGCTAAGTGTCTATCAAGGGGGAACTAGTTAAATAAATTATAGCAAATCCACAATGATGACGTAGATACATAAGTACTGACATATTGTTAAATAAAAAAGCAAGTTATAAAATGGCATATACAGCATTATCCCTGGAACATACACATATATATAGAGAGAGATACAGATATAGTTAGATATAGACAAATACATACAGCCTAAAAGCAAATGTACCTAATAGTATGTGTCAATAAGTAGTATTTTAACTGATGATCTGCCCTTTCTTTTTGCTCATATGTATTTTAAACTTTTTCCAGTGAACATAGATATTTATGGCATGAGAAAGTTATAGAGGGAGAAACAAATGAAATGAAACAGTTAAATTCACATTTGAAAGGACCTACGGTTTATCAAGGGCACCTCTGAGAATCCTGATCCCACTTCCTCAACAGCTACAGACCTCATCTCTTGCAAAACTGCCTCTTTTTTTTTTTTCGGTAGGGGTAGGTAATTAGTTTTCTTCTTTTAATGGAGACATTGGGGATTGAATCCAGGACCTCGTGCATGCTAAGCATGCGCTCTACCACTGAGCCATACCCTCCCCCCTCAAAACTGCCTCTTTTGAAGCTAACTGAGCTGGCTTTTTGTTTTGAAACATGATGCTGAGATGCTTCTTTCAGCCCAGACAGCATGAGACTGATTTCCAAATTTAAGATTTGGAAAATCTAAGATTAAAAATAGCCCCAGAAAGAATGTTTAAAACTCACAAACCTAAAAATAAATCTTAGATGACAAGGCATTCTCTTTAGTGGGGCAGATTCCATTTCTTTCCCATTGTACTCTTTTCCCTCCTCTTTCTCTTCTTTTTTGCTACAGTCATCCTAAACCGGGCCATCCCTTAGTACTATCCAAGTCCTGTATAATCGCCTGGCTTAAATTTAATTCTAATCTTAACTTCTGTGGTTTATGTGGTCACCAACTCTCTCCTGAGAATTACAGCTAGAATTCAGCAAGTTGCTATTTATTCTCACTTACCAAATATAATAATTTTAAAAGCCTTGACAATGATAGTGCCTGTACCCACTGTATTCTCCCAGGTTTAAAACAGTGCTATTTTGGGAAATTATATTCTTCTTGGTAGGTGTTCCCTTAAAGTGACTAATCACGCCAGCTCTGAATCATAGACCCTGACTTGCAACCAGTCTGCCTTAAGAGAGTGGTAGGCAGCAGATAAGCCCGAGCTATAACCGGGGCTATGCTGGCCAGCACGGTAACCACCCGCCTCATGTGGCAATTTAAGTTAGTTAAAGTGGAAGAAAATTAAAATTCCAATTCCTTACTTCCACTAATAACATTTCAAGTATTCAAGAGCAACGTGTATGTGGCTCTTGGTACAGATACAGAGCATTTCTATCACTGTAGAAAGTTCTACTGGACAGCACTGGTCTATGGTGCTCTCTCCAAGCAATCAATAAGAAGATGGATTTACAGCTGGCCTCAATGTCCCCTGTCCCCTCAAGGCTGGTCTCTGGAATAGCCCTCCCTCTTGCCCCCTTTCAGATTGAGAGGACACCAATCTCTTCCTCGCCAGAAGCACTACCATGTGGCAGGCCTCTAGGCAGCTTCCCAGCTCCAACCGCTGAATCAGGAAACGGCCGACAACCAGCCTCATGCATTAGGGCAGTGGTTTTCAAACTTAAGCATGCCTCAGAATCACTTGGAAGGCTTGTGAAAACACAGACTGCTGTGCCCCAACCCAGCTTCTAATTCAACAGTTTGAGATAGGCCAATAATTTATACTTCTAACAAGTTCCCAGGTGATCCTTGTGCTGCTGGTCCAGGAACCACACTTGGAGAACAACTGTAGTAAGGCAATGAAGACAGGCTAGTTGATTGTCCCATAGGGAACGAGTTTGTTAAACTTTACTTCTAGCATTAGTTTTGCCCTTAGCGGGCTTCAGTACATTCAGTATTGCTAATTATGGATCCGATTCCACTCACTGACTCAAGAGGAAGCAGCTTGAAAACAGTTCCTTCCTAATCCTTTTATTTAAAAGCAAAATGAAATAAACAAAACAATTCTGAAAAATCAGCTTGTGCGACTATGACTCCTCAACAATGTCTAACCAAGTCTCCAGAAGGCCTTTGGCAGCAGAGTAAGACATCTTCACTGATTCTGTTTTAGAAGACCATTGGATTTCAAACTAACTGCAAAGCTGATAATCAAATAGCGTGGAACTGGCAGAAGGATAAGCATATAGATCACGAGAACAGAACTGAAAGTCCAGAAATAAAGCCTTACATTTATGGTCAATTGATTTTTGGCATCGGTGCCAAGACAATTCAATAGGGGGAAAGCATAGTCTTTTCAACAGCTGGTATTGGGATAATTGATTATTTACACGCAAAAGAATGAAGTTAGACCTCAACTTTGAAAATACTCCAAAATTACTCAAAATGGATCAAAGACCTAACCGTAGGAGCTAAAACTATAATGTATATAAAGAACAAATATAACATTGAAATAGATAAAGTCTGAGTTGGGAAAAAAGAGAAGAAGAACACATAGGAGTAAATCTTCGTGACCTCAGGTTAGGCAAAACCTTTTTAGATATGACAGCAAAAACAATAAGCAACAAAAGAGAAAATAATTTAACTGCATCAAAATTAAAAACTATTGATCTTCAAAGGACACCATCAAGAAAGTGAAAAGAAAACCACTGAATGGAGAAAATATTTTCAAATTATTTTTGATAAGAGATTTGTACTAAAAATATATCAAGAACTCTTACAACACAACAATAACAAGACAAATAACACAACTGAAAAATGGGCAAAGACTGGAACAGACATCTCTCCAAAGAAGATATACAGATGGCCAATGAACACATGAAAAGATGCTCAATATTGTTATCCACTAGTGTAATGCAAATCAAAATCACAATTTATTGGCCTCTGTACTACTTTATACCGACTGGGATGGCTATAATCAAAAAGACACATAATAACAAGGTTGGTGAGGATGTGGAGAACTAGAACACTCATACACTGCTGGTGGGAATTTAAATCATTAGCCCCTTTGGAAAACAGTTTGGCAGTTCATCAAAATTATAAACTTAATTCACCTCCTAGGTATATTACCCAAGAGAACTGAAAACATGATTCCACACAAAGAATGTGTACACAAATGTTCATAGAAGCATTATTCATAATAGCCAAAAAAAACCCCAATGTCCATCAACTGAAAAATGGATTAACACAATGTGATATATCCATAAAGTAGACTATTATTCAGCAATAAAAATCAACGAAGTACTGATACATCTACGAGATCAGCATAATCTTGAAAACGCTTAAAAAAAAAGCCAGTCACAAAAGACTACATATCATACAATTCTATTTATATAAAATATCTAGACTAGGCAAACTTATAGAGACAGAAAGTAGATTACTGATTACTTAGGGCCTGGAGCAGGTGGAGCAGATAACTGGGCGAGAAATGCTAATGGGTATGGTGTTTCTTTTTGGGGTGATGAAATATTTTAAAATTGATTGTGGTGATGGCTATACAACTCTGTGTAAACACTAAACACTATACACTTTAAATGGTGGAATTGTATGTTATCAAATTACATTTCAACACAGCTGTTAAAAATAAAGGACTGTTGGAAAGAACTCATGTACTCCTCAAGGGGGATTGGTTTTGACCCTCAAAGCAAGGGTTTGGATGGAAATAATTCTTAAACTAAAAAGGGTCCTGGTATCTTAGGAGGGGAAGCAGAAGAAAGAAGAAAAGAGAGAGCAAGTTAGGTCACAAAATACCTTCATGGAGACAAAGACACAAGAGGTTCTTAGTCTTGTAGAACTGGTTCATTATAAAGACCTAAAGCACATGCAGGTTTCTAACACTTTGGATGAGCCAGAAGGAAAGGTAAAGAAGATTTGGCAGCATTTGAATTTTAACTATTACACATGAGAGCTCTGTATTAACGCTTTTTTTTTTTTTTTTTTTGATATAGACTTGTTCTGGGAATAGGGCTGAGGACGAAGACCATTTTTCAGTCATTAGACTTACCACTCGGCTGAAGTACTCATCTAAAACTTCCACAAAGTCATGGATGAATTCATAAATTGCCATCTCGTTCTGAAATAAAAAAAGGAAGGGTGCAATCAGTTTTAGTATGACCCCTGTGGCTTGGTAAACTGAGAATGTGAGCAAAGCAGCTTCCTACAGACAAATACTCAGTAGTTCTATGGTCTACTTGTTTAAAAGAAGCTTATCAACAGGGGAAGTGTAGAAACTTAACCTCTAACATTTTTAAAATTTATTTGAGGTAGGAAGGTAATTAGGCGTGTTTGTTTGTTTATCTATCTATTTATGTATATACCTTATTTTTTTAGTGGAGGTACTAGAGATTGAATTCAGGATTTTGTGCATGCTAAGCATGTGCTCTACCACTGAGCTATACCCTCCTCCTGCCTAAGATTTTTTTTCAAAGTCCATGATGAATCCAGCTGAACAGAACCCAGACTGAGTCTAGTGTCTCGAGTTCTGAGCTCTGCTCCCTGCCTTCATCACAAACTGGCTGAGGCAACTTTTCAGGGTCTTCATGTCATCAGCTTTCCTTCTGTGAAGTGGAGAAACCACCTCAAAGTTTGGTTCATGGAGAAAAAACCAAATCAACTGAGATTTCAAAGTATTTTAGATCTTAAATACCCTTTCAGGGATTCCATGGCCAAAGGTGCTATTCATCTGGGACTGACATTTCTGAGGTGAACTAAATCTGATAAGATGTAACCATAACACAATCATATTCATAGTTTGCTCTGGCTTCTGATGTGTCAGCCTATGTTTAATGCCACAGCTGACTGGCCTCTCTACTTGGCTAAGCAGCCCCTCTGCACCACACAGAACAAGGGCAGGGCACTGGTACTGCTTGGTCTCGAGGAGGGCAATCTGTGGTTCTGTGTTTCTCCACAAACTACTCATCTAATCCAAGAAAAACCCTACATTTATCTCTTCCACACAGCTTTCCCCAGTCTTGATGAAAACCAAGATCCTTCAAAAGAGTCAAGACAATTCTTATGGAGGTAAGTAGGGAAGCAAATGTTCATTTAAGAAGGAAGAAAATCCAGACTGTTATTCCTAATTTTCTTGCATTTTCTATCGGCTCTTCTGTTATCTTACCTCAGTGTCATTAACTCCAACCACAATGAAGAGAGCCGCATACTGCCGATATATCAGCTTGAAATCCTTATATTCGATGAAAGAGCACTAAACAAAACACAATTATATGTTAATTCCTATGGTTGACAGGGATTTCTTCAAAATGGCATGCATAATTTCTAGGTCCTGATTTGAGTATCTGTCAACACATTCCTAGAAACATACAACATTAAAATGTTACACAATCTTTGGTGGCTGCATTCTCCCAATAGCCTCTAGTGGAAAGTGGAGAAGTGGTCTTGGAAAAAAGTCTGAGTGTTCACATGGGTTCCCACCTGTACTCCTCATTCCTTTGCTTGGCTCTGTGTGGAACCCAGCAGGCAAAAAAAAGTTACTAAATAATCAGCATTTTAAACTGCCTCCAACATGGAAATAAGCTATCACAATAAAGAGATTTTCTTCTTTCCATCTCCTCTGGGCTCTTTTGGACACAATTAGAGATTCAGTTTTGCACTATTTGATAGCCATTGAAGAGCCAAATATACGGAGCATACACACATGCAAAAAAAAAAACCTTCGTTTCTTTCTTCTAGACCCACGAAAAGAATCAATGCAGGCTCTTTTATAAATTATTTAAAGATGGCATGTATGCGGCAGCTACTAGACAAAAATCTCCCATTGTAAACATTGCTCCATATAAAGTAATAACTAGCTTACCGCTACTGACTTGTGGCGAAAACAATTCCCTTCCCGTGCATCTCTCTCCTAAAGCCACTGTTCAAACGGGGAGGGGAAGGCACTGGGTGGACAGGAATTGGACAGCGGGCTGAAGGAAGGGCTGCCTTTCCTTCGTGCTTTTGGGTGTGCTTGATCAAAAGTGATTGAGCAACAACAGGATGACTTTCTGCACTGGGATATGTGGCTCTCGGGCACTCGGACGCACCTGGGAATGAAGCTGCAAGTTTTGATTACAGAATTTCTTCCATGGGAAAGCCATTCAACAATCTGTATGATGGAAGGATTTGAGGCTTTTATTTGAAATTAGGATAAAGGTCGTAAGTACAGGACCGTTCTGCAGCTTTTGGCTCACTGTAGAGCCAGTACAATTTCTGCTCAGTCGGATCTTTCAAGGAAACAACCTAACTGAAAGAACTGAGAAACATTTTTCAATGCCTCTCAGGTGTTTCTGACATTAAAAAAAAAAAGTATCAAAGCACCTTTATGGATAAAATAAAAATGAAGCTGAGATTATGTTACTTTGGGGCCTGATTATGCCAAAAGCCCAGTGGGTTTCCTTTAAAATCCAAGATAATTCAGAATGCTTCAAAAATATCTAACAGTATATTCATTCCAAAGCATAATTTCAGAGGGTAACAGTGAAAACAGTGTTTGAAATTGTGGAGTGCCTGCACTCTGTAGGAAAATTCAAACAGAAATGCTTCTGCACTTTTGTTTACCTTTACTTAAAGTATGTGGCTATTAACACAGCCCTTTAATAGTTTCTGTTTCCTTTTGACAACTACATAAAGCAGTGTGTCCAAGGCAGGCCAAAGTAGTAATTCAAAGAGGACTCTGAGATGTTCCGACTGGAAAATCAGTTTAGAAGCCAAGGGAAACACAGCTCCAATGCGTAACTTCTGAGCACTGATGTAGCTTAATATTTTATGACCTACCAGTGGTTCCCACAGGCCGCCTTTCTGCATACCCAGTGAAATGGAGCACTGGCAAAATTAATGGGTGATTTAAACAAGCTTTCTGATTTTGCCTTCATTTGCTCAGTGATTTCCAGAGGATTCCAAGTTTAGGGCCTGGGTTAAGTAATTCTCCAATTAAAGTCCTTTGTAAAAATAGACTCAGCTTTAAAAATTCCTATTTATTATGATCTCAATGATTTAATTTAGCCTCAATTTGGGCAGAATGGATAGATCTGTTGTTTCATATGAACTTTAAACTTCTATTTCTCCCATCTACATTATATAGTAAGACAAGTTTAAATCAAGTTTGGTTTGTTTTTAAATTACTCGTTCCAGTAGTATGTTGGTGGTAAATTTATAAAGATGGTAAGCAGGAAAAAAAAAGAAAACTGCACTCCACATGAGAATCATGTTATTATCCCCTGGTACAAAGTGGGTCTTGAGTGTTCACCTCTGTACTGGTCATCTGACCTTCATCTTTTGGCGTAAAGAAAGAAAGCCATCTGCTACAGGCACTCCTAAGAGTTCCAAGGGTTCACTCCATATGAGCAAGAAAAGAAGCTGTATCTATTAGCAGGAGTAAATTTGAACTGCCACTTCCAAAATGCGCTGAGACAAATATGCTGACCTAAATGCGAACCCAAGACTTTTCCTGGTTTTCTTTGTTTTTATTTTCCCTTAAGGGGACGTAAAGAGAGCTATGCTTCCATCTTCATTTCACTTCATTTGTTATTTTCTCTAATAGCTATTGAAAGAATGTAGTTCAAATAAACCGATGGCCCTTGGGACTCAGTAATAACAGATCTGCCACTGCTGAGTTGAATGCAGAGATAAAAGAGAGAATCAGAAACTTACTTGTTCATTGGATCGAGAGAGACAGCTCTTTATGACTTCTGTTTCCAGAAGTGTACGCTTATTAATCTCCACATGTTCATAGTACTTAGAAAGTCGGGTCTGCCCTTGTTTATTCACCATGAGGAAGAATTTTATCATTTTTTTTCTGGCCAGTATTTTTCCAAATATAGTTCAAAAGTTATGGCAAGGGGTGGCTGTAACCAGAACCTGAAGAATGAAAGAACAGAAAGGCAAGATCAGACGTGCTAAGAATCATACTAAACATGTTTCAGAGATGAATCAGAAGTAAATACAGTCTTCTGATAACACCAGCCTCCCACTCCTATGAACTACGTGAGGTTTTAATAAATAACTGAAGATTCATTTTTATAACCTATCCTCCAAAACATTTTTGAGCATCCACAGTACTTCTACTCATATTCATTTGATTAGTTCATCCATCTTGCTGGGCGCCAACCATGTGTCAAGCACCAGGAGAAAGAATACAGTTATGAAGAAGTAATGATTTCTGATCTTCTGGTCAGTACATGTAGCAAAGGTGCTGGATAGCTAAACAAGGAGCAGCAGCGCGAGGTGGTGAGTTACAAGTGAGACAGGTATACATCTGTGGTGCACACTACGGAGGGACAAGGAGCACCACAGGAGAGTCAGGAATGGCTTCCCAGAGAAGGGGTATTTAAGCAAGATCTTGAAGAATGATCCAGAGGGAGTGACTCTGAGGCAGAGAACACAAGTCTGAAAGCTCTGGAAAGTTCACTTTGGTTGCAGTTCAGGGGGCAGCAAGAATGGTCACAGAAAACGGAGCTGTTCACATAGGCTCATACTGGCTTTAAAAGTCATGCTAAGGAATATGAACTTTATTTTATGGATAATGGGGACAAGATCTGTAGTGAAGCTTTTCTTTCCTTGGTGGTGGAAGTAATAGTAATGTCAACTATTTGTCAAAGTCCTCCAATGACACCTTAGAAAAAGTCCTATAAGTTCCTATCCTGAGCAATTTCCATACATTATTTAGTTCTCACAATTCTCTGAGGCAGGGGCTTCTGTTAGCCCCACTTTAAAGACAAGCGAATTAAAGTTTATGGATGTTAAGGTACCCACGTCCCTGGATTACTATGTGCCGGGGGTGAGATGGTGCAGCTCAGAGGCCAAGCACATGAGCAGATGCATAATACCCCTACTCCTCTCCTTCTCATCATCCGGGGGTTCCTGCTAGTGGCTTTATTTCCAGCTCAGTTGAATTGATTCTCATGTTCATTCCTCTTGTATTTAAGGTAGCTTTTGAAATAAGCAGTGCAAAAGAGCCCAATGTTGACCAATGGCCAGTTCTCCTTTCATCACAGGCATCAGAGCTGCCTCTCAGGCTTATCTTATAATATCATATTCACGTTTTGCAATATCTGTGAAAATCAGTGCAAAATACCAAGGTTAATGATAGTTCCCAAGTGAACTTTTAAAAGCTGGAATAACTTGACAGAAAAATTGTAACAGATTACGGGATAATCTTTGAACTAAGACTTATATTATTTTTTGCCCTCTTAGCTCATCTCTTTGTTTCCTAAACCCTTTCGGACAGGTTGTTACCTCATAACAATTCCACACATGAAGAGCTGGATAGAGCCAGATCTAGCCTGGCAAAGCCTGGGCTGCCCCATTCATTCAGTGTGCAGAAAAGGATGTCATCTAGACCAGTGCAGCCGGGGATATGACAGCTGTGCCACGGGGGAGGCCCGTGGTCATTCACTCTCTTTTCCAGGAAGATAAACTCACAACCGTAGGCGGGATTGCAACACACTCTGTGTTGTTTAATCATTTGGTATTAAATGCTGCTTTTATTCTCCTTACAAGTTCTTGCCAGTAAATTACGGCAGGTGACTAATAAATTAAGATCACCATCCTTTCTTTTATTCTCTTTTAGCAAAGTTATTTTAAAACCATCTTTATGAAAGTTAGAAATGACAGTACCCTGGATTGCAACTGTGAGGTAAAAGAAAACATATTTTCTCAAAGGTACCCAGGACCAAACCTTTGCCTTTAAATGCCCTGGTTGCATTAAGTGGTAAAATGAGATGTAAAATGATCCCAATGAGATGCTACACCAAGGGCTCAAATTGGTTTCCACCTTACAAGCAGAGCATTCCTTCCCACTGACCTCAAGAGCAAGGATGACAAACAAGGACGTGCTGAACTGATCCTCATTAGGATGCAAGTCTTGAAAATAGTACTGAAGGCATCTGAAGACCTGAATACATCATTTCTTTTTGCATTCTCATGAACAATTACACAATTTATAACTATAGGATTACATAGTGGTAATCAAGTGGAGAAGCAAAACTGTAAACTATTTCTATTATAAAATACACAACAGCAAAATATACAATGTGGAGGCTCAGAGACAGGTACATGTTTGAGAACTGAAGATGAATGCCTAAAGCACCTATCCTGATTACTAATTATTGGGGAGGAGGGAGATCAAATAAATATAAAACTGAGGTAGGGCAATAAGAAGGAATATGCTTAGACAAGCACTGGGAGTGGTCAGGGAGCAGGTATGAACTTCCTCTGTTAATAAACTCTTTACATTCAACAACACACAGGTTGGGGAAGATATTTTGACTGCAAGTTAGGCGATTCCACACCCAAGAACTTGTGTGAATGTGCATGAAAAATCAAGGAAGAATAAAGAAAGGAAACTTCACTGGGGAAGGCATTACACAAAGGGTGTAAGGATGCCTAAAGGCTGAGGCTGGCGAGGCTGGTGGATTCATGGGAGAATATGAACAAATCAACATCCCAGCACCCTACATGGTGTAAATGTAACGCTTAGAGAAAAGAGAGACTGGAATACTGAAGTAGACGCTGAACTGGGCACAGTTTTCATATTTCTGGGAGTTGGAGCTGGAAGAGTCTTTATAGGTTGTCACATCCAAAGATGACAAATAGATTTCAACTTGGGTGTTGGCTGTGGTTAACTGCACTAACTGCTTTGAGCGCTGTGTTGGGCAGGATTCTGAAGCTGCTTTCAGGTTCAGAACAAAATGATGCCATGAATAATTAGTAATGTCAGTTGTGGGTTGGGAGGTAGGGTGTGGTAACATATGCACCTTGTCTCTGTCATCTCTGATGTGCACTCCCTTCATACTGCAGTTGGGAAAACTGGTAATCTGAGATGTAGAGTGAAGTCCTGAATTCTTGTCTCCTGATTCATAATATAATGCTGTCTTTAATCCGTCACATTGTTTCTGCCTTACTCAGTGTAGTGGTGTCATTAAATGTTCGTTTAAGTCTAATAAGCATCAACTTCTGGTAGCTTTGGGAATGGCCAATTCAATATTATCTTTTCTAATGCTGCTGCACGATTAATTTGGAAAATGCCAAACCATTGACTACATGAAAACAGTACAGCATGAAGTTTCTAGAAATGTAAATGGTATCTGATGATGGCTAATATCCTTTCTAGCTCTAAATGCTTTTCACGTACTCCAGAATCATAATGTTGTAAAACACACACACACACACAGCTGATATCAGAGAAAACTCTTTTTTGGCCCCATGAAAGTGAATGAAATAAAATCCCCCCAGTTAAAAAGCAAATTTCCACCAAGGAAATTATAGTACTCATAGAGTGTAGTAGTCAAAAGTATGAACTAGACCTTGACTGTGTTTGGCTCTACTACTCTTTAGCCCTGTGATCCTGGGCAAATTACTTAATCTTTCTGTACTCAGTCTGAGGTACAATGGGAATGGTATCAGTACTTACCTTCTATAAGAGTAGAGGAGTTAGTATATGTAACGTCCTTAGGACAGCGTTTAGCAGTTGGCGTGAAATGAGTGCTATGCAAGCGTCAGCCCATGTCATTATGATAATGTATCTATCACCCTTTCTTCAGAGAAGCCTTTCCTGCCTATCCCCATCCCTCTTTCTAAACACAAAAAGTTGGCTATCCTTTCTTTGAACCTATCACTATATCTTAAAAACCTGTCACCCTGAGTAATCATTATCTGATTACATTCCTAGCTCGCCTACCAGACAGTGATTTTCACTTTTTTACGGTGATGTATTTTACATTGTGATATATTTTACATGGTGACCCAGTATACAGGTACATACATATCTGAAAATAAGTTCATAAAATAATACCTGCCATACTTTATGTTTGGTACTCTAGCATTTTCTATGACCTTTCATTTTGTAAAAACTGCCATTGTGAGGGGTTACACAGGTGTACGGATTTTTCAAAAGTCACCAAATGTACACTGACTCATGCATTTATCATATATAAAATTTACATAAAAAGAAATTAATATTCTAGTTAATGATATACATTAGTATTTGGGGGAAATGTACTGATGTCTATAATTTACTTTGAAATGCACCAGAAAACTAAGATAAATTAATGGATGGGTAGACAGATGGATGGATGGTTAGATGTATGATAAAGTACAGTTGACCCTCCAGATCTGTGGGTTCTGCATCCACGGATTCAACCAACCACAGATTGAAAATATTTGGAAAAAAATTCCAGAAATTTCAAAAAGCAAAACTTGAATATGCTGTTCACTGGCAACTATTTACATAGCATTTACATTGTATTAGGTATAAGTAGTCTAGAGTTATCTCTACCTTACTTTAAATTATTTCAACACATAGGGAAGGATGTGTGCAGATTATATGCAAATACTACACCACTTTACATTAGGGACTTTAGCATCCACGGATTTTGGTATCTGTGGGGGTCCTGGAACCAATTCTCCACAGATACTGAGGGATGGACTACTACATAGTAAAATATTATTGGTAGAATCTAGGTGATGAGTATATGGGAATTCAATGTGAAGTTCTTCTCAATGTTGCAGTATATTTAAAAATCGTCATAATAAAATACTGAGGGAAAATGCTAGTTGTGGCCCACTGATTTTTTAAAAACTCATAGATTTTATTTTTTGAACAGTTTTAGGTGTATAGAAAAAACTGCAAAGACAGTATAGTGTTCTCATATACCCCACACCCATTTTCCCCTATTATCAGTATCTTAGTATTGTACATATGTTACAATTAATGATTTAATACCTTATTAACTGAAGACTATACTTTATTCAGATTTCTTTACATTTTACCAAATGTTCTTCTTCAGTTATAGGGGCCAGTCTAAGATACCACATTACATATAACCATCACGTGTCCTTGGAGACATTCACTCGGCTCTGATAGTTTCTTACACTTCCCTTGTTTTTGACGACTTTGACAGTTTTAAAGAACACTAATCAGGTATTTTATAAAATGTCTCTCCACTGGGATTTGTATGTTTTTCTCATGATTAGACTGGTTTATGGGTTTCTGGGAAGAAGACAACAGAGGTCAAGCGCCATTTTCATCACATCGTATCAAGGGCACATACTATCAACATGAATTATCACTGCTGATTCTAACCTTGGTCACCTGGATGAGGTAGTTTTGGTCAGATTTCTTTACTGTGAAGTTACTCTCCTTCCCTCCCTTTCTATATTGTAACCTTTGGAAGAAAGTAATTATGTGTAGCCTACATTTAAGGGGTAGGGGATTATGTTCAGTTTCCTTGAGGTAGGAGTATCTACATAAAATTATTTGAAATTCTGCTGCACAGGAGATCTGTCTCCTCTACCCCATTATTTATTTATTCAACTATTTATATCAGTATGGACTCATGGATATTTTATTTTATACTTTGGATTATAATCCAATATGACCCACTCGTTTTTCATTTCAGATTCTGCTAGAGGACTGTGACCCAAAGTTTGAAAGATACTATACTAGCCAATGAACTTCTGGGTAGGGTCTATATCTTACTTCAGATAATTGCACAGTGCCTAGTATATAGTGAGCATCTGATAAATGTTTATTGTAAGAATGAAAGGGTTTTTTTTTAAGCAATAAATACTCCTTTAAAAAAAATTACCTAAGTGTTCAAACAGAGTGGACTTATAAAATGCTCTGGTACCCCAACTCCTGGCACAAATCCTGTTCATCCTACTAAAGATTTAACGAATGTTTTTAAATATGTTCAGTGCATATCCTTCTAGACCTTTCCTATACATTTACATGTAAATATGCATACATCTGTAGCAACTTTATTTTTTAAACATAAATGTGATTGATAAACTCTAAAATGTCAAGAGGCTAGTTTAGTTAGTGTCTGTCCTCTCCTGGTACCTTTAAATGAACCTGGTCCACATACAAAGCTCTGGCTGGATCCTATAAAAGGGCACTAAGGAGATGTATTCTGGAAATCATCAAAAGGACCTCCTGTTGAACCAATTTAGCTCAGGCTTCCCTGGGTCTTTGTCCCCTTGATTCAGTGCCTTGGCTTCCAATCCGTCTCTGGGCTCAGTTCTTAATGAAATGGTTTGGATTTCTGCAGTCTTTCACAACTTGACCTTTGGTATCTGCCCTTTGGCTGTAACTCCAAGGGCCTTTGGCACTCAGCTCTTGCACTGTCAACTGGGAGCAACAGCTAACTTACACAGTGGTGGCAAAGATTAAATAAAGTATGCTGACTTCTTTAGTACACTGACTTCTTTCATTTCCTCCCTTTATGTGTATTAAACTAGAAAAGAAGTAGATAAGTCTGTATAAGGAAACAGATATGTATATGTATATATTGTTAGTGGTCCCTTAATTTGTTATAAATTTTCTACAGTGTAACCTGGTAGCAAGCAAGAAAAAATTAGGAAAATGATTCTACTTTTTAACTCAAGCACTTCAGTCTTGGGACTCTACCCTAAAATATAATTAAAAGTCCATATGTAAAAAAAAAAAGTCCATATGCATGAAAATGTTAATAGCAACATTATCTATAATAGTGCAAAATGAAAAAAGCCCAGACACTACAAACTTAGAACCAAGTTGAGGTCATTTAACCATTTAAAAAATATGCAGAGCATGAAAAGAATGGAAAAATGTAAGTTAAATAATGTTAGGTCACCAAATCAGAACACAAAATTTATCCACATGGATTACAACTGTGTAGAAGGAACATCCGAATAAAAAGAGACCAGACAGAAATCATGCAAAAACAAGAAACAAACAAATAAACAAACAAAAAGAAAAAGAGACCAAACAGATGAACTTTGAAAACACTGTGTTAAGTGAAAGAAGCTAGTCACAAGGATGACATATTATATGACTCCATTTATATGAAGTGTCCAACACAGGCAAATCTATAGACATAGAAAACTGATAAAGAGTTGCCAGAGGATGGGGTTGGAGGGTAAGGTCTAAGAAATGTGGGGTTGTGGTGATGGTTGCACAAATACATGAGTACATAAAAGCCATTAAATTGTGCTCTTTAAATGGGTGAAGTTTATGGTATACAAATTATACCACGATAAAGCCGTTAAAAAGTGACAGACAGACCAGACAATCTGGAAGAGCTCCCAATAGCTAAAGCCAGAAAGAGCTGAACAATAAATAACATAGTACTGGATTATAATGGAAAATATAAAATATACATTAGTACATACTGATATAACTACATGATTGAATAAACAAACAAGCAAATAAATAAATGGGGCAGAAGCATCCCAAATATATATATTGATACTCTCTCCTCCAGGAGGTAAAGCTCAATCCCCCCCATACATGTGAGGGTTAGCTGAACCTAGTGACTCACTTCCAAAGGACAGAGGATGGGAATGGAAAATAGTAACTTCACAACACAAAAGCTGGCACAAACCACCTTAACCCGGTGAAGATCAATGATGTCATGTCCCCCTGATAGGACATGATGAGAAGGGTACTTCACTCATTCTAATCATGAGAAAATACATTAGGCAAACCCATATTAAAGGACATTCTAAAAACTATCTGGCCAAACTGTCAAAGTCATGAAAAACAAGGAAAGCAAGAGAAACTGTCACAGGTCAGAGAAGATAAAGGAGACAGTGATGATCACATGCCATGGTGTCCTGTAGGAGACCATAGAACAGAAATGGACGTGAATGAAAAACTGTGAATAGTCTGAGTTTAGTTAATAATAATGCTACTCACGTTGTTTTTTCAGAGTTGACACATGTACCACGGTAATGTGAGATGGTCACATTAGGGGAGGTGGGTGAGGGTATTCAGAAATTCTCTGTACTATCTTTGCAACTCTTTTACAAATCTAAAAATTATTCCAAATAAAAAGTGTATTAAAATAAAAAAAGATGTATAAATATTTGTATCAAAGTGAAGAGAGTTTGTTGGTGTGTATTTAGTTATATTTGGTTATATAAGATGCTTAAGCATCTTAATTATCACTATAATACAGATTTTTAAGTATGAGGTTCATTTTTATTAACATTCTCACTAATTATACTTCAGTCTTTCTTATTTTCTTTTAGCTAAGAGTCATGCTAATTTTACCAGATGAGGTGTACATATGTGTTTAAACGTATACGTTCTGTAAGTGGCTTAGTCTATCGTTCTGTCAGGCTGTTTTGACCCAGATAACATCTTGAACCACATCTTTCTACCACGTTATTACCATTTGGGAACTTTTTTTCCCCAGATCCAGGAGTTGGCAAAGTTTTTCTGAAAAGGGCCAGGTAATATTTTAGGCTTCGGGGGTCACGTGGTCCCTTTCTCAACTACTCAACCACTCCACCACTGCAGGATGAAAGCAGCCACACATGATGCAGATAATACATAAAGAAATGGATGCAGCTGTGTTCCAATAAAACTTTACTTACAAAAATAGTCACCAACTGGATTTGGTCCGCAGGCTGTAGTTTGTTCTACTACAAACCAGTGCTAATCAAACTTAATGAGCACATAAATCATTTACAGAGTGTATTAAAATACAAAATCTGATTCATTGCTCTGGGGCAGGGACCATACTCAGAGGCATCAAAGTGTTGTTCATTTAAGTACACACCTACAAGATCATGAAGTTCACCTTTCTGCATATCAAATTATATCAAATAACACCAACTGAATGCTTACTAGGCACAAGACAGTAAGGGAACAGAGTAAACAGAAACACAGGTATTATGGATTTCTTTCCTCTGGTCATGAGAGGGTAATCTGGTTTGACATGTCACCCCAGATTCTCAGGTTCGTCCAGCTGATCTGGCTGGCTTATGTAGCAGCCCCACCCTCATGGCCCCAGGTGGTCTCTCTCAAAGTTGCTCTTGTATTGGAATGCAATGACATTTCCAGGAGGCAGTGAATCATTCTTTTGTCAAGGATTTACCAGTAGCTGACTAGAATGTTTCATTTCCCCTCAAGAAATTACAACAATGTATGTAGACCTCTATGTCACACCATACACAAAAATTAACTCAAGATAGATCATAGACCTAAAGGTAAGAGGTAAAACTATACAACTTTTAGAAAAAACAGATTTAAGACTAAAAGCACAATCCACAACAGAAAAAAAAAAACGATAAACTGGATTTTATCAAATTGAAAAAGTTTTTTTTTTTTCCAGATTGAAAAACTTGCACCTTAAAAGACACCATTAAGAAAATGAAAAGTCACAGACTGGGAGAAATTACTTGCAAATCATAGATCTGATAAAGGACTTGCATCCAGAATATATAAAAGAATTAATAGGAAGATATGCATCACACTTAAAAAATGAACAATGGATCTGAAAATACATTTGAACAAAGAGGGTATGTGAATGGCTAGTAAGCACATGAAAAGATGTCCAACATCATTAATCCTTAGGAAAATGAAAATTAAAACCACAAGACACACTTCACACCCACTTGAATGGCTATAATCAAAAATGCAGTAAATAACAAGTGCTGGCCAGGATGTGAAGACACTGGAACTCTCATACAGTGCTGGTGGGGATGCAAATGTTACAGCCACTTCGGAAAACAATTTGGCAGTTTCTTAAAAAGTTCAAGATAAATTTACCATATTATCCAGCAATTCAACTTCTTTTGTTTGGTTTTTCTTTTTTGGGGGGGAGGGGGCAGTTGGTAATTAGGTTTATTTATTTATTTACTTATTTTAATGGCAGTACTGGGGATTGAACCCAGCCCCTCATGCATGCTAGGCATGGGCTCTATCACTGAGCTTATACCTTCCTCTACTTCTAAATATATAGAGAAGAGAAAGTCCACAAAAATGACTTGTACATGAATGTTCATAAAAGCATTACTCCTAATAAACAAAAAGCAGAAATGAAACAAATGTCTACTAGATAATGAATGGACTTAAAAAAAGGTGGTATATCTACATACAATGGAAAACTATTCAGCAATAAATGAGAAGAAAATACTGCCATATGCTACAAAATGGGTAAACTTTTAAAATATTATGTTAAAAGAAGGCAGATGCAAAATAATACCTATTGCATGATTCTATTAATAAGAAATATACAGAGAAGGCTAATCTATAGAGATAGAAAATATATTAATAGTTAGGGCCAGGAGAGAGAGATTTGGGGGAAAACGCTGATGGGGGTTCTCTTTGGGATAATGAAAATCTTCTAACACTGGATTTATTTGCATAACTTTGCAAATTTACAAAAACTCACTGTACATGTACATTATACAAAGTTCAGAGCATCTACAATAAGCAGAAACAGAAGAAGTTATCCAACAATGTATTTTGCTTAAATGGCGATGGTAGGATTAGGGACAAGTTTTATTCTCTATTTTTGCTTTCTTTCCCAAGTTTTAAGAGATGTGTTACTTTTTGTGTCATACACACACACAGAGTTTGTTTTAAAAATACTAAACTGCATTACATAATTTTACAAAATTATCCAACTGAAACATAAATGTTTACTTTGAATAATGAAGCTATTGTTTCATTTATTGTGGCATTTCTAAATGCCACACTCTTTAAAATATGTACTGTCTTTCAAAATGGATGTGCTGAGAACCTCTAATCAGTATGGCCTAATCCAGGAAACATGGAAACAGCAACTGCCACACCAGATTGATTCATTCCATGGGCCTCAGAGTTATTTAGCCGTTTCTAAATTTCTCCATCCTTAAATAAGAGGAAATAGTACTCGTCAGTAGCAGATTTGCACCTAATTTGGAGCTCCTCCCTCAGAGTCTGTAATATGTTATGCATTCTTTTTTTATACACTAAAACAGTTTTGTTTCTTTGCTTCTGAATTTAGTAGAATTCTACAATAATTCAGTTTTCTCATCTGTCATCTGGGAATAATGACAGCTGCTTCACAGGAACTAAAAGAGATAAAGGAAATATAAAGCACTCAACAGATTCCCCGTCTTCCCTCCTCATCCTTCTCCCCATTGTAGGTTGCAGATTCTCCCTACTGATGTTCTAAGATACTGAAATCTGACTTCAAGAAACCTGTCACCCACCTGCCTTTCCTTCCATCCTTTCTCATTCCTGCTCCCCATCTCTCTCTCTGTATCTCTCCATTATGATTCAGAATACATTTTTCAGTAGCTTCAGCTGAGACTTTTACTTTCTGTTGAATCCTTGGGTCACTCAAGAAATATTTCAGCCACATTTGATTAATTTCACATTAAACACATTTGTATATGTGCTGCTTATTTTACTTGAACAGTTTAAGAATAATTAAAACATTAAAAATGTTAAATTCAAATCAAAATCAGGATTTGTAGGAATCCTGAAACTACCAATTTTGTGGAAAAATTATGAAAACACTTTGAGAATAAACCTTAATAGTCCTGTCTACCATTTTTCTAGCAGTATATTGAAAACTTTCTAAACCTTCATGTGACCCTCAGATCTTTATCTAAAGTCATTTTGGTAAACTGATCAAAAAGTCTCACCAAATTCTGCTTTAAGGTACGATAAAAGTTCATATAAGTATGGTTATTTGTACATCAACATTATTAATCCTTAGGAAAATGCAAATTAAAACCACAACAAGATATTACTTTATACCCATTTAAAACACATACATAAATAAAAGCAAAGACAAGTTAGAAGTTTTACTGAAAAGTATAGATGTTGCATTTTTGGAGATGTTCAAGTATCAGACCTTCTATCCTAAATTAGTGAATTGAATTTTTAAGGTCTTTACCACAATACAATTGAAGCAGGGGAGAAACGTCATATTTCAAAAACTGAGGATGAGGAATTTATATACTATAAATAGATCATTACATTGTCTGTTTGAAAGTACTTGTTTATTTTTGTTCGTTAGTCACCTGTGAGTGTGTGTGTGTGTGTGTAGAGTGGAGGGTGGAGGGATTGAGAATAGATTATCTATCAGTCATTTGCCAGAGAGGTGTTGATTGTCAGACCTGGTGGTGGAGGGAGGTATGCAGTTTAAAGATACAAACTATTAATCGCTAGAGTTCATACGAGTCATCTTAGGGTAGAAAAGCTGTGCTGCTTTAGGGTAAGTAACTGGACTCAACCTTCCCATTACTACACACAATGAAGATAACAATGGGTATCTTTCAAAATCAAAATCAAAATTTTCTTCTAAAATTATCTTCTTTTTGATTTTAATGCCAAGGGTAACTTATTTTGAAATTTAAAATAGCATTAAAATAGGGAATTAAAAGTTGACTTTGACAAAATGTGGACATGGTTAGAAATAGTGAAGAAACACTTCTGGTGGGTAATCTTATTCTAAACTGTTCAGTTAAAATTAGCCATATGAATTAAATATTTGTGCTTAGCGGCTAAAAATCTTCACTAAAGTTTTGGATTAACAAAGATATCCAACATTTTAATTTTAGAGACGAGGCAGCAGTGATCAGACATCTAAGGGTCTTATGGATGGGACCTTCCCAGGACTTGCTATTGTGATGTTACAATGTGTCAATAAGAAGGAATTCAAGTAGAGAATGAGGATTACTATATACTAGTTCCCATTCCTATAAAATGATGCATCAAGTTACCCCTTAAATTGAAAACATTTCAAACAAGATGTTCCGGATTTTGATCAATTTAACTTCTGTATTTCTTGTTAGGTTTTGTTCATTCTTGTTGGACATCTGATTTCCAGTGCAACCTGTGACTCTTACAGGGTCATGTGCAATGTTACAGATTTTAAATTCAAATTAAAATGAAGAAATTGAGAAGTAAAATTTGAGTTGCTGATGGCTCCTATAGTTTTGTGTCAAACAAAGAAGAAATAAACAAAACCTCACTGGGATGCAGAGGAATCTTGCTTTACAGAAAAGTCTGTAGAACTATAAAGTC